GGGAGGGCTGGGGGCTGGGAGGAAAAGGTGATGGGGTTAAGCAAAGAAAAAACCTCCTAGACACAGACAGCAGCAGGGTGACGACCAGAGGGAGAGAGGGCGGGGGAGGGAGAGGAGGGTGCAGGGGGCAGATGGTGACGGAAGGGGACTTGACTCTGGGTGGTGAACACGCAGTACAACATGCAGGTGGTGTGTGGTGGGTTGTACACCTGAAACCTATGTATTTTATTCATCAATGTCACCCCCATAAACTCAATAAAATCTTTTTTAAAGGAAGTGGGGAGCACAATCACAGGTACACCAGCACCAAAAAAAAAAGAAAGAAAAAGAACCCAGATAACTGTCCGCGTTTCATTCAAGAGGCAGCTTCACACCCACCTGCAGCCCCCGAGCGCCCTCTCCCCGGTGAGCTGGCGCCCTTTGCGTTAGAAACAGCCGGCTCACCAGGAACCAGGCGGGGCTTTGGGGCTGAAACTGGCCTAGAGGCTACGGCAAGACTTCTGGGAAGAAAACATTATACTGAGACCTGTCACTGCCTTTCTCGGTTTTCATTAAATAATTACCAATCGGAACACTTTCACGGGGCGGGACCATCGGCTGTATTAACCACGCTGAGCTCACATCGGTCACCTGAGATCCAGGTCGGAGCCCGGGTCACAGGCGTGGGGGACGTTCCGGAAATAAGAGACAGCCGCATCGTGTGTTTCTCTGCACCACGTGGGCGCGAGACATGTAGGAAAATAGAAGTAAGAAGGAACGGCAGCGTTCTCACCCTCCTCGGAGGATTCCCAACAGCAACTCCTCGTCGTTCACGTTGACCGCCCGATGGAGGTGCTCGCTGCTCATGGGCTCTCCTGAGGAAGCAGACGGAGCCGTCACGGTCACCGGCACCACGGAAGCCCCGTCACAGCCTCCCTCACCCCTCCGCCCGCCCGAGGGCAGTCCCTGTCCGCCTGCAAGGAGGCACCTGCTATTCCAGGAAGTGAGCCTCACGTGTCCCACTCAGTGTTGTCGTTTACTGACACCGACCTTGTTTCCACATGTTAAGAGAAGGACATCTAGCCCGGCCGGCGTGGCTCCCGGGTTGAGCATTGACCTAGGAACCAGGCCCGGGTGGCGGGCTCAGTCCCCAGTGGGGGGTGTGCAGGAGGCAGCCCATCCACGATTCTCTCTCATCATTGATGTTTCTCTCTCTCTCCCTCTCTCTCTAAAAAATCAATTAAAATGCTTTTTAAAAAAAGAGAGTGAGAGAGAAGAACCTTTAGATTGTCCTAAAGGCCTGGGACATTCCCAAGCGATGAAAGTATGGCTTCGCGGCTGTTCAGTCACATTGGAAATAGCCTCTCGGGTTCTGTGAGGCTGAGCAGGTGCCTGATGTGCAGGGAGGTGCTCCCACTGTCACCCGCGCTGGGCTCGTTGCCACGCGTCTCTGAACATCTTCACAACCAACAAAGAAGGCCGCTGCTGTAACAGCTTCAGTTCTCCCGGGAGAAAAAGTCCACATGGGCCTGTCTCCCCGGAG